AGGAGGGGGCACCGAGTGACAACTGGCTTGGCTGGGATTTCAAAGACTTGCTTCGGGAGGCAGAGCTTCATAATTGCTTGGAGTCTGCCCCTTCTGTAAGACTGCCTGGCTTTAACTGTGGGCACTTCTGCTGTATGGTCTCTTGGTGCCTCAGTTACCTCAACTGCAAAATGGGTCCACCACCACCTCACTTCCACTTGTGACTCATGTGAGGACTAATGCAGTAGGCAGGGCCTTTTATATGTGGCTGTGCCCAGTGGCCTTCAGGAAAGCGGGTTAATTAAGTCACCATAGCCATCCTACGTGAAAACCCCAGGGATCCCAAGGTTATCATCCCTTTGCCCAACCAGACTGAAAACAGAACCCCTTTCCCATTTCCATTTCCAGACCTCCCCCAGGGCAGCTTGAGTCGGTTTCCTTTTGGTATGACCTCAGCAGACAGCTGGTCACAAACTTTTGGAAAAGAGCCCTTCTGAGATTCTTCTCCCCTCGCAATGGCCTCCCACTTGTCCTCATGACCTCCTTCTCATCATTCCAGCGAGAGGCCTCCAACGTCCAGCTGGGGCCAGCAGGGAGACCATTCCCACGTTTGGACCGGCCTCGAAGCTCTCCCGGTTCTGCCCAACCCCTCTCCCATCTCCCCCGGGCTTTCAGCCCACACACCTGTCTGGTGAACAAAATGGCGGTGTCATAATGCTCCGGGTGGCGGTCGCTGGGCTTGTTGAAGCGCCGCTGCCAGCTGCAGAAGTTGCGCAGTGTGAGCCCGCCGTTGTCCGACACCTCTGGGCCCCAGCCTTCCTCTTCCACTATCAGCACTTTTACCACCACGAGGTTGATGGAGTTTCTGATGCTTGGGTGCTTGTAGATTCGGGCTGCCATTGCCATCACTGTGAGAATGTGGTTCTGCCAGGGTGGGGGAACAGTGGGAGAACACTGTTCTAATCATGCTCCCGTCCTCGATGACCCAATGCTACCGCCTCCTATTAGGAGACACTTATCTCACACATGTCAGACGCTGGGCTGAGTCTTAGACGTGCAGCAGCTCGTGAGGATTAGGCAAACATTCGAGGACTTGGTGTTATTTCCCCAGAGAAGAAGTACAAGCCTCAGTGGCTAGTCCAAGATCACAAAGCTAATAAACCAATCATCTGAACCCAGAACTGCTTAATCACAAAACTTAAGCATTTAACGTCCAGACCCACTCATGGGGTCACTTGCTTCCTAGTAATTCATTAAAATTCAATGTAGTCTGTTCTACCGTTGCACTAGCAACGTTTCGAGCACATCAGCAGCTGTACACAGAGCATGGATGTTGTATTGGAACTGTAAATAAAAAGTTCTCTTGGGTCGGATGGCTCATTCTGACTGCCCAGCACACCAGGTGGCTCCTGGTCAAACACCCCCATCTTCCTGGTTTCCCTCCAGAAGCAACAGTCTAGAGATTCACAGTCAGTGGAATTTCCCTCTTAGGGTCTGTCCGAGCATTCTCCTGTGTTCACTGGGATAATTTCTACTTTTTAGCATGGAAACTGCTAACTCTGAAGACTTTGCTCTAACAATTACCCTTAGCGGCAGCTACTCTATAGTAGTTCTTGGCCACAGTTGACACACTACCTCATTAGCTTTTCCCGGTAACTACAGATCAGGCATTGCCATTCTGCTTATGGATGAGAGAGGCATTCAAGTTCAAAAAGTCCTTATGGATCACACTACCTTTAAAGTCAAGCTACCAGCCCAGGTGTGTGTCTGAGGTCCACACTCCCCCTTAGAGATCCCTAGAGTTCAGATTTCTGCCTTCTGCCTGGACAGTTTCTGCACCCTCCTCCAGTATTTATTCCCTTCCATATAGGGCTTGAGAGAAGCCAGAGGGCCTAATGAGACCCACATGCTGAGACTCCCACCTGCTTTCAGTTCCACCCAGGCGAACTGAAGGGCCTGCCGTCCTACGTCATTAGCTGGCCTCCGGCCTATCCTTGAGCTGCCAACTGCTTTCTTGCTGCATTCTGAGACTTTGAGGGGAGGCCAGATGGGAGCTTATTGTCCTACCTCGGGGACCTCATGGATTATTTTTCAGAGGCAGAGACAAAGGTTGACAAGCTGGCATGCCTTGAGCCCACGGTGTGGCCAGCTGAGCAGTCGCTTGCCTGCTTTGCCCTTTTAGCTCCCTGGAGTCTCACCCCCTCAGCTCCCTTTCTCTGTTCTCCTGTGGTCTAAACGGTGAGAGCAGGACAGAAAAGGCTATGCAGGGGACAGTCCATCGAGGAAGGTCTTGTGTGGGGGGTTCCAGATGCATTCCATTATTTGTGAATGGGATCTGTCTGTGCATCCTGCAGGCAACAGGCCAGATGTTTCCTTAGTCCTACAAACCGGTTGGCAGGTTTCTGAGCTCAGGTTATTCGGCATGCCATGCGCCCCCGCTTGTTTAGGCTGATGTAAACACCTTATCAGCGAAGCTGCAACTTGGCATTTGCTCCCTGAGTTGGATGGCTGAGGGGAAAAATGCAACCACATCATTATGCAACTCGGGGTGAGTCCTGAGGAATGGTAGCTTGTGAGACAAGTTCCTGGCCAGATCCTCACTGCTTCTTGAGAAAGGACAGACAGTTTCCTGGTCTACCTAGTGAGGCTAGGATCTGACTGGACCAATCCCTGAGCTGGACCAATCCCTGGGAATCTCTTCTGGAGCTATCTGCAACTACGCTTTCAGGATTTCTTTCTGCTGAGTCCAAGCTCCGAATCAGGAAACTAGGGAGGGTGAGGTCTTTTCAGAACAGTGTGATGCCTAGATGCTGGCTTCTAGGTACTCAACCAAGGAGGTCTACTACGAGGAACTGGAAGATTTGGAGGTCCAAGAATGGTCTGGACCAAACCAGATATAGAATGAGAGATGAAGCGCTAGCCCTTCAGGGAATGGGCAGATGGCTATGTGGAGGGAGTGCAGTATAGGGAATCCATGAGAGCCTTTCCTCCAGACACTGAGCATCTGTCAGGCTGAGATGGCCAGGGAATCACGGCATCCACGCAACAGCTGGCCATGAAGACATCTTAAGTCCTTCCTTGTCACCAACTATCTCAGAAGACAATTCGCACAGTGGAGGGTCACAAAGACCCCGTGGTCCATTGCTCCTTTCAGAACCTGCAGTCCTAGTCTCACAGAGGAGCAAACCATCTCTGCCGTCTCCCAGATCCAGCTGGGTCTTCCAGTGGCAGGACTCTGCATCATAGATCACGGCGTAGCTCGCCAGGGACAAGGATTACAGAGCTTGGGCGAGGCATGTCACCTGGATGGAGCCTGTGAGCTTCTGATCCCCCATCTGTTCTCTGGGTCCTGAAGGACAGACCTGACTTACAGATACAGGGAGCAGGCCCAGGTGCCAGTCAAAGAAAAGGTCAGATGGCTTGCTTTGCTCTGCCACCTGGTGTCTATTTATACCTCCCTGCTTACTACACAAGTACAAACTGTGAGCTAAAGAGGAGGAATGAGATTCTTCCCCTATTGACTGAGGCCCCTGGTGTTTGGCAGGCAACCCTCAGAACTATCCCAGAGTGGTAGAAGCCCACAACCACTACGCTCAAGGTAAGTCAAACAACTTAATTTCCCCTAGGTAAAGGTAGTACTTCTGTGGGAGTCTTCTCTGTCACCACCCCCAAAATTCTTTGAGCTACAAGCAAGACCGTTCCTTCCCCAGGTTCTTGGATGCTCCTATGGCAGTCAAAGTCTGCCTTTGGGATCCTTGGAGAGACTAAGCCTCGGCAAAGTGTGCTATCTCATCCTGGCTACAGCGTCACCTGTAGCACTTCGCTTCTTTGCTCGCACGTGACGGATGCTAAACTAAATCCCGTGTGGCATGCCTGGGGATGTGGCAATGTATGTCCGTCCATACATGGCATCCTTACTCTTACTTCTAGGTGTGATGCTAGGCTCTGGGATAGTCCTTTAAGGAGGAAAGGGGGAAGCAGAGGGAGAGAAAAGAATGAGGCTCACATAGCCTTCCTTCATCTCACCTTACTCCCCAACCAGCAAAACCTGCCCTTATTCAGAACCGCCAGAAACCGACCTTGAACACTCAGAGCTGGGGCAATCACAAAGATGTTCTTTCTGCCCTGTGGGACAGCGAGGCTGCAAAGCAGTGGCTAAGCACATTCTAGTATGTGTGGCCACAAATGGATTTTATCACCAAAGACAACTCTAGGAATAGCTGTGCCTTGCTGAGCACCAGCTATCTACCAGGCCCTGGCTCAGATGGGTTCCACGCTTTGCTGCATTCTGGAGACAGTCTCAGCGCTTGGCTATGCCTGCTCCCTTTTCCCTGGTGAAGAAATCAAGGTACAGAGAGATAGATATTTGCTTAGAAACTCTCAGTGACTTCATCTTTCCTAAGTCTATGTTCCTGGCCACCACACTACCATCAGTCTTGGCTGCTACAAGGAAAACCAAACCCAAAGTTTGCAAGCAAATAAGAAAGCCAGGCTACCCTGCCATGATCTACATCCCACCCCCAACATTAGGATATTGGACGTTTTCTTTGGGAAACACTGTCTTTGGTCGCTCTGACTGCAGTAGATGTGAGGGATGGAAAGGACTCATTGTTGAGAAGGAGGGCTGAACATAATGTAATATAACAGTCTTCCACCCAAGAAGACAGACAGAGCTACAGAGCTGATGGAGCCTATACCTGTTTATCACCCAAACTACCACACTGCTGACGTCAAGGGATGACACTGTTTCTTATTTAGGCTACCAGGCAGGGATCCTCGTGGCAATCCATTGTATAGGATAGCTATAGTCCTAGGGCTGGTAGGAAGCGTTCACTCTGGAAGGTAGAGTAAATGAGACGGTTGCAACAGCCTATTCCTGGAATCATCTCCCAGGACTCTGACATCTGGGCGTGCTCCAGTCTGCGTTGGGGAAGAAGAGCACCACTCCTAGACCCTCCCTGCTGAAGGGAAGGCTCAGGAGGTCTGCTCACTGCCGGAACTTTGTTCGGCTCCAAGGTTACCCAGGGGACACTTAGTAGCACCTGAGATGTAGACCAAGTTAATGGACGCTCCCGAGGTGGTCCCTCTTTTCAGTAAGCCCCATTTGTCCCACAGCTGTCCAGGCTCCAGAATTCCTGAGCTACTGAGACAGGACATCTGGTTCTGTCCAGGTTATGCTGACTTTTGCTTGAGGTCCAGGTGGGTTGCTCAGACGAGTTGACTTTTTCTGAGAAAACCAAGTCTTGATACTTTAAGACCTGGCTTATTCAACTGCCCCTTCCAACCTCCCTACAGAAGCCAGTCCTTAACATGTAACCTGCAGGGATCCCCTGGGTGATTCATCCACACAGACAGAAGGCACTTTGGGGAGGTCTTTGGGTCATGGGGCAGGTGTTGGTGATGACAAGGGTCCCTGATCCGCTAAGGGACAACAAGACACTTGGACAAGGTAATGGATTCTGGCCTATGCTTCTCTGAGACTGCTTTACGATGAGCCCTTAACTCTGAAGCCAGATAAAAAGATGGGAGGCAGGGGCCCTTCTCATGAAGGGATTAAGTGAACTCAGTTGCAGAGCCCTGTTAAATGTCATTGTCACCAGCAGGGACAGCAGTCTGGATCATAGCTGACTCTTTCTTGAAGCTTTGAAGACAAAGGTGGTTTCTTCTCAGAATGGGGCTTGGCACCTTGGTGGGACATCCTGAGACTGCCAGATTTAAGGAGCCATGCCACAAAGTGGGCAACCCAGAGAGTGTGGCTAGAACCACAGATCTTCCTCATGAGAAGACGCAGCATGGTAGGTACAGCAGCAGAGAATGCGAGACTTTGGCTCAGGAAATCTGGGAGGTGTGGCAAGCCAGATTTGCCACACCTACCAGTGTGACCTTAGGAAAGTAGTCACAAGTCCTCTTTGAGCTGCATATCCGTCCTCTGCCTCTCTCACAAGCATTTCCATTGATGTCATGCATGTAAAACCATCCTGTAAATGAAGCATGGTCAGGGAATGACTGAATCTTCCAGAAGTTGGCTCCTCATGAAGCAGTCTCACAGATGCATAGGCTAGACACTTGTCCAAGTGTCTTGTTGTTCCTTGGAAAACCAGGGGCTCTTATCATCACCATTGCCCGCCTATGACCCAAAGACCCTCCAAAGTGCCATCTGTCTGTGTGAAAGAATCACTCAGAGGCTCCCTGTAGAGGTTACATGTTAAGGACTGGCTTCTATAGGGAGGCTGGGGTGGGAGTTGAATAAGCCGGGTCTTAAAATATCAGGACTTGGTGGTTTACACAGAGAAAGTCAACTCGTCTGAGCAACAAACCTGGACCTCAAGCAGAAATCAGCATAACCTGGGACAGAACCAGATGTCCTGCTTCAGTAGCTCGGGAATTCTGGAGGCTGGACAGCTGTGGTTTCTGGAGATGCCAAGTACATCCTTGAAGGAAATATTTAACATCTCAGCGTTTAAATGAGGAGCTGAGAGAGGTGCTAGGGAGGACATTTTGGCTCTGAGTTCTGAAAAACTGACTTTCCTGCAGTTTCTCTGTGTTCTTGTTGGTCATTCTACATTTTGACTGTCAAGTAGATGTCAGAGACTGGTCTAATTTGGGCATAGATGTAAGTTTTAGCTCTGGGTTTGTTCCTGAAGGAGCCTGGAGCCAGGTGTACGTGTCTTGGTGAATTGGGAAGTCCTCTCTTCACCCTTTTCTGTATTTCCAATACTCACTGGGGGAAAGGAGTCAGAAGAAGTGGCTGGTGCCTCCTCTTTGGGTAGGCAGAGAATCAAATATGACATCAGCACAGATTAAACCTCAAGGATCCGATGGCTCAGAGCTGTCTTGCAATGCTCTGAGCAGAGCCAATACCACAAAAGCACACAGGAAGCCTGCCCCAGGTTTAACTGGTCTGTGCAGTAGATAGACGAGCAATCACACAGACTTCTACCCACAGCCCTTCCTGCCCTCTCCTCCTGGTTTTCACCGGAACTATCTCAACGAGCACATCTTCACAGCAGAAAGGTGGATCTGATGAAAAGCAGAAGGCTGGCTGTCCCCTTGTCTGGCCATTCTGCAAAGGTAATGCCCACGTCCTTGGCACCCCCAACAGTCAGGCACAGTTTGAGTCTAGGATGAGGACCCTAATCAAGGACACCACCACAAACTGGGCTGCTATAGTTCTTGGATCCCTGACTGGGGGAACTGGGATCTCTGAGCAGGTCAACTTCTTCTAGCTGAGCTAACATTTCTGTTTCTGTATGTTCCAGGAGATGCGACCCTTCTCGCTTCTCCTTCTGGTAAGGATTTTTGTTTTGTCTTGGGAGGGAGGTATTGGGGGGCACATCTTGCTGAGTCAGCACCAACTGCATGTAGTTAAGAATGCTCAGCTACTGCTTGGATTCAGTTTTTCTGCCCAGGCCGTTTGAAAGCTGATTCTGAGCAGAGGGTGGCTGAGTGGACCAAGCTCAGCTCTGGTTCCTTTAGACACAGACAGAAAAAGTTCATCCTTCAGCCCAGCTCCCTCCCCTTTCACTGAAACTTCAGTTTTCTGGGCTGAGCCCCGGAGGGAGAAATTCTGTTCTCCTCCCTTCTTGTACTGGATGCAGGCATTGCCAAGTTCTGCCAGGGCCGAGTGCCAGGTTGGCAAGGTAGCCCGTGCCCCTTGATCAGAACCAGCTGGGCATACAGAAGTTGGACAGCTTGCTTCCAGGTTCCTCTAACGTCTTTCACTTACAGGAACCTCAGTTCTGTACCCAACACAATCACGGCCACCTTGTCCCAGCCCAGCTTCCTGTCCTAGGGCGCCCCAGAGAGTCACGGACAGTAGAGAGTTGCGGGAAGCAGGGCTAGGAGGAGCAGCGTTCTTAAAAAAAAAAAAAGAAAAAAAAAAGCTGCAGTTTTCATCTCCATTGGGAGAAGCAAGTGCCCGGGGACTGTGGAAGATTCAGGATGCCGCTCGGGAGAGTCAGAGTCAGCACCTCTACTGTAAATTGGAAGGGATTTAGGGGCTGGGAAGTAGGAAGTCGGGATAGCAGAAGTTAATGGAGTTGCTGCTATTTCTCAGAAAGAAGAAAGTCCCCTCTGGGGTTGGGCTTGGGAGCTAGAAGATCCCCCCACCCCCAGTGGGAAGGGAAGAATTGAAAGTCATTTGAGAAGAGAAGGATGTTATGGATTGTTAGTGTCCGTGGAAGTCTCTCCTACCTGCAGGTCGGTTCCATAGAAGGCAGCCATGGACGCATCAGCCACCAGCAGTGTTTCCACGAAGCGAGCCTCGGACACAAACCGTTTGCTCCTAGTTTTGAATCTTAAGGGTGGTGGCAGTTCGCTGGAGTCTTCTGTCTCTTTGCGCAACCCCTCTTTATCTTGCTTCCTATCCTCTTCGTTGTCACTTCTCTCCGGTCCCTGTCCCTTACCCGTCTCCACCTCCCACTCGAGTCCTTGAGGGAGGGGAAAAACTTCGGCGGCAGCGAGCCCGGGGTCCTCCCTGCGCTGCCCCGGTTCCCAGCGCTGTAGGCGGTGAGGCTGGTCCAGGGAGTCCCCAGCGCCTTGTGGCTGGATGGTGAACTCCTCGCCTGCCAGCAAGAATGAGCCGCTCAGCCCGCGACACAGGCTCACCGCAGCCAGCGAATCTCGCTCCCCATTCACGGTGCCAGAGAAGAAGCAACCGCGCAACCCCGGTTCGCCCCCGGTCGCAGCGCCGGAGCCCCCGAGACGCTCGATCTTGAACTCAGGCGCTAGAAAGCTGGCGTCAGGCGCCAGGCGCAGCACGAAGCCCTGGCCGAAGGCGGACAGGTGGAAGGCGAGCTCGCTCGTGCTGCCCGGCAACCGCGTGGGCACCAGTAACTCCGAGGCCTGCGACCCGCTTCCCGGCTCTGCCGGGGCGCCGCAGACAAGTGGCGGCGGCGGCAGCTGCAGGAGCAGCAGCAGCAGGAGGGGCGGCCACCGGACGGCGGTGGGGTCGCGGAGCATGAGGGCAGAGGGCTGCGGAGCGCGGGAGAGGGAAGAAGGTAGCCGCGCAGAGGCAGGTGCTGGTGGCCCAAGGCGGCCGGGCCGCTCTCTCCAGGAAAAATGATCAATCAGATGGGGAGGCCGACTCGGCCAGCAGCAGCAGGCGCGGCAGTCCCCTGGCGGCCCCTCTGGTTCGCACAGCCCGCTCCTCCTGCGCCCGCCAGCCAACCTAGCAGAGCTCCAGCAGCTGGCGCCCCGGGGCGTGAGCGCTCTCCTCCGCGCTGTCCCGTGCAGTCGCCTCCTTCCTCGGGAAGCACCGAGTGGGCTGTTGAGCCCTTCGTATTTATATTCCTTCCCGGCTTTGACATAAGAGGTTTATTTTTGATCTCTCACTATTCCCGTTTCCCCTCCCCTGGGGTCAGAGACAGGAACAGAAAAGAGGGAGAGGAGGGGAAAAAAAAAGGTTGAAATGTAAAACCAATCAGGAGTCAGTGAGCCCCTCCCCATAGTTAAGTAGTTAAGTGTCAACTTCAGCGTTTGTTTTCTTTCTTTCTACATGAAGGACCAAGGCAATTTCTCTAATGTTGGGCAGCCCCTGAAGGCAAGTCCTGGGGTGGGGGTGTGTGTGTGGGAGAGACTCTAGCCTCTTTCTGTGCTGGAGTCAGGTACTGGGGACAGATGCACTCTCTCGAAGAGGCCTCTGCCTTGGTTTCAGTGACAGTATTCAGATTCCTGCACAGACCTGGCAGTGTTAAACGAGGTTTTTGGAGACGATTCCAGAGCCTTTAATGGTAAAACACAAGTGAGAGGTAGAAAGTCACACTGAAATCATGCTGATCACTAAGACCAGTGGAGATCTTTAAAAAAAAAAAAAAAGCCCTGTCAAGGCTAGCAAGGACTCTCTCAATTGCTTGCTTCTGAGGAGGGTGGGGCAGCGAGAGGTAAGCCATCAGAGAGGCAAAGTGGGCTCAATACCATTCAGTTCCCCCTTCGCCTGTGAGAAAGCCCTTCTCCTGTCTGTCCTATGTCATACGGTTCTGCCAGCTGCCTTGGTGACACAAAGTAGGGTGGTCAGGTCCCCTTTACTGCATTGCCCACAGCTCCAAATACATATAAATATGTGGGAAACTAATTCACTCTGCCATACGCCATCTTCCGGTCGAAGAGTGGGACCCAGGAAAAGCGATGGCACAAAACTCAACATTTGTATCCACTCTGGGCTTAAGGGTGCGGGGCTAGACTGGACTCAGAAGCCTGTTCTCTCAGTACCACTCCAAGGCTTAGCCCCACCCCGTGCCGGTTCTGAGCGGTCAGCAAGGAGGACACACTATTTGCCAGCTTACCTACCCCCCAACTATGCGGCTGAGGGTGCCCACAGCTGAGAGAAGCCCTGACACCTCAAGTTCTGTCTGCTTTTATAGCAATACAAATGGGCAGCTGAGAACCTTCAAGGTTGCAGAGTCTCCAGTACAGAGAACTGGAAGTTTGGGGGATGCTCTCCTGGAGGCAGGGGGATGAAAGCATCACTGCTTCAACTCTTTACCAAAAATGAACAAATTGCGTATCCCACAAAAGTCTACTACCCCTGGGACAGTGTGGCCTGTACGGATAAACGAGGAATCCCATTCGCCTCAGGACTCTGGTGACTTTTCAATTACTGGTCTTTGCCGTTGAGCTCCTTGCTCATCATTTTCCAGTGTGGAACTCTTTTTATTTTTTATTTTTTCCTCCTTTCTCGAGGCAAGGTCTTGACTACACAACCCAGGCTGGCCTCAAACTTTTTAGTCTCTCACCTTAGCCTTCTGCGCGCTGAAGTCATGTGCTGGAATCTCAGGCCTGGCTTTCAACTTTTGATTTTCAATAGTAGTTAGGTCCTTCACCTGTGGCTGCTTTCTCCTTTGTGACCATTTGAGAAGAGTGCCCTGCTCCTCTTTTCCCCTTTGACATTAATGCTTAATACCAAGTTAGGGGAACTAGAGGTTGTTGGTGCTTTCTGTCAGGAGGGTTTTGGAAACTGCAGCTGCCACTGTTTTAAAATAGGAAGAAGAATCGCCTTTGGATGCCGTCTTTGGAGACAGTCAGCTGCTGAACTTTGGACTTTATCTTGCCCCATTTCATCAACAACTGCAACTATAATAACACAACAATTGTGGGCTGGCAAACTTGATCAGGAGCCAGCCGGGCCTCCCTCTGCTTGCTTGGTTCATCTTTTTGAGAGGGTGCATGCACCTCCATGGTAACTTCCAGGGAAGTGCCTGCCATTTGCAGTGCAACCACAAGGTGTCTCCCGCACTTTAGCTATGCTTAATCCTTGCTTTGCAGGGGTGGTGGATGGCTTGGATCAGAACAGCAAAAATGAACACTCTCACACCCCACCACTGAAAATCTCAAATGGGCCAATTATGGAGTTTCTCTATTATCATTTTTGTCCCCCCCCAAAAGAATATAATTGCCAGAAGGGTCAGCAAACTGTGATGCATGGGCTAAGTCTGTTTTTGTACACCCCACATAATAAATAAAATTGCTTTGTATATTTTAAGCAGTAAATTAAAATAAAAGACGATTAATATTTCATGACCCTTGAAGATGCCATGAAACTCAAACTTCAGTGTTTGTAAGACAGTTTACTGGCAACAGACATTCATGGACTCTTTGTAGAAAGGAGACTGCCTGGCTGTAGAAAGTCTCATACTCGGCTGCTCAGTATCAGCACGAGACTCTTAATCTCAGGGTCATGGGTTCATGTACCATGTTGGCTGCCATTTGTAGAAAGGAGGCTGCTTGTTCATTTTCTGCCCACCCAGACCTGAATAATCACACAGAAACTTTATTAATTACTTGGCCAACAGCTTAAGTGTATTCCTAGCTAGCTCTTACATCTTAAATTAGCCCATTTCTATTAATCTGTGTATCATCACGAGGCTGTGGCCTACTGGTAAGGTTCTGGTGGGCATCTTTCTCTTTCGGCAGCTACATGGTGTCTCTCTGACTCTATCTACTCTCCCTCTATGTTTCTGTTCAGATTTCCTGCCTGGCTTTACTGTGCTAAGCCATTGGCCAAAACAGCTTTATTTATCAACTAATAAAAGCAACACATATACAGAAGAACATCCAACATCAGGTGCCACATATGTGATTCTTAGGGGTAAGAAGACTCAAAATAATTTTTTGCTCTGAATATGAAGTTATATTTAGCAGCCATTCATCATTTAATTAGCATTTAAATAATTAATTAGTTTATACCAGTTTTTATTATAAGGCTATTGCAAATGTTAAATTGTCTTTGGTTTTCTTTCTTTTTTTTAAAATATTTATTTATTTATTCATTATGGATACAATATTCTGTGAGTATGTCTGCAGGCCAGAAGAGGGCACCAGACCTCATTACAGATGGTTGTGAGCCACCATGTGGTTGCCGGGAATTGAACTCAGGACCTTTGGAAGAGCAGGCAATGTTCTTAACCACTGAGCCATCTCTCCAGCCCCTGTCTTTGGTTTTCTTAAAACTTATTTAGATTTATTTATTTTATAGGTATGAGTGTTTTGCCCACATGCATGTATATGGACCACGTGTGCCCATGGAGGTCAGAAGAGGGCATAAGAACCCCCGGAACTGGAGTTACAGACAGTTGTGAGCTGCCACGTGGCTACTGGGAATCACACGGAGGTCCTCTGGAAAAGCAGCTAGTGCTCTTAACCACTGCTCTATCTCTCTGGCCTCTTCAGTTTCCTAAAAATATTCATTTATTATGTGTGTGTTTGTGTGAGTGCGTGTGTGTGTGTGTGTGTGTGTGTGTGTGCATATTCTGCACATGTGTGGAGGTCAGAAGAAGGCGCTGAGTATTCTACCTTACCACCCTGTACCCACTGTTTTGAGGTAGGGTCTCTTCCTCAGTCTGGGACTTACCTTTTCTTGGCTAGGCTGGAAGCCAGCAAGCCCCAGAGATTTTCCTGTCTCCATTTCCCTTGGAACTGGTTATGAGGGATGTTGGGCTTTTGTGGCTGCTCATGACTATGCAGCAGGCTTTCTTAACTGGTGAGCCATCTTTGTAGTCCTGAAGTTTTTAATTAGTTCATACCATTTCTCCATTAATCACTAGAGTTTTACACAGTGCTTACTCCACAAATCTGTAGTGTGTGCTAAATTCTGGTAGCCTCTAGGCGTCCAGATTCTTTCAAAACTGGAAGTAATGCTGGTGGTCAAAATCCACTTCTGTTTGCATTTTGAGGAGGAAGGCGAATGCAGGTTTCAGCGATTTGCCCAAAGTTGTGTAAATGGTGACAGCTTTCCTACCACGAATGCTTTGGTACCTTCTGCAGGGAGATTAAAGCCTGCTTTGCCCCAAAGTTTCCTTCACAATTTGTACTTTTTCACTAACACTCACTGCAAACCGTGGGCGAGGCACTGTCTTACACTGCTTCATTTGCTCCGCATAGTGGTAGCTGTCGTCCTTAGAGTGCTTCCTGTGTGCTGAGCACGCAGCAGAAGAGAAAACCGCACAGGTGAAAAAGCAGGCTTGGAGCCCTTAAGAAATGCGCCCAAAGTTACTTGGCTAACATGTGGTAGACACAGGCTTCCTCACCAAAGCTAAGTGCTAACTAAATAGAATATTTTTGGGGAAGAATGTCTCTCGCAGCAGCGTTGACCATGTTGACCATGGTACTAGGGAGCTAGAGAGGAATGTTGGGGGTACACTGGGTCAGTGTCCTTCTTCGGGAGGATGCTTCGAAGTCTCTTTTTCTGGAGCCTGGCCATTTCAAGGTTTCAAAGAAAGAAATAAAATGACTTCTCTCAAAGTCCAGCTACAACCCTTAAACATAAGGAAAGATCATTCCTTCCAAACCTTTCCATGCCACAAGTCATATCCACTTTCTGGCATCTTAGCTATGCTACGATGTCCGCAACTCCACCCAGCAGTCACTGGGGAAAGGACTTCACAGTCCCTCTCTGCTCTGCCATTGAGCACACACCCCAGGCTTGCCATATTCCATTTACCAATTTCGTGTTGGTTCATGCCTGTTTTCTCCAGCACTCTGGCTCTGGTGTTAGCACTCGCGTGTGAGAGGGCTCCATGTGCATCTCTATGTGCTCAGTTCTTTCTCAGTCCTAAATGAAACTGCTGGCATAGAGTTCGGTATTCGCAAAAGCATTTGTTCCCTTTCTCAAGGTTACCCTGGCAAAGAATCAGTCTGATCAGTTCCTGCTTTCACCTGGCTTCTGTGTTATTCTCAGACAGTGTCCACAGGCAAGCTTTCAATTGCGTTGTCAGTACCAGTGAGAAGCAGACCAGTACAGACATTATGGTGATACTGACATTTTCTTCCTAACAAGAGTTTAAATACACCAAGAAGCAAACACCAATAACTTCGATATTGACGTTTTCAGTGTCTGTTAATGCATGCACCAAATTGCTTAAGAGATGATCCCTGCCTTCCAAGTTAGTCTCATGAAAGTGTGTTTCAACACACACACACACACACACACACACACACACACACACACACAAAAGGTACCCAGGATTCCAGATAGAATGAATTCATGGTTACAGTTTGTGAATACTAGGAAACTGGTTTGTAAGATTTGGACATTGGAGCAATACAGGCAATGACTATGGGCACAGGGAGACTACTCTTGGGCCGCATATGGCCAGAAGGTGGCACTGCTGGAACTTGGTGTTTCTAGAGCAACTATCTTGTGAAAGAGTAGAAGGAGCGGTCCTTCCCACTTTTACACATCTGGGAGCTAAGTGCTCACCGGATTCCCGACAGCCATTCGTTGAGGGAAGCAAACTGCCCATCTTAGTCAGTGCGGCCAGAGTGCTCTCTCCCCGACTATCTTTCTTCACCTCAGTCTGTGGTCTTCATTAAGACCTCTCAACTCAAAAGGGAGTCTAGGAGGGCAGAAAAAGTTGAGATATTCTCAGTGCCTGAGGCCCCCTCAATCTCAAGAATGCCTTGGCTCCTGTACAGGCAATTAGTTACTCATGCACGCAATACATTTCCCCAAATTGTCACGATTTGTTGCAGCCGCCAGATGGCAGTCTTGTTACATTTGCCTTTGTAGCTGCTCTAAAATTTAGCCTTGTTTTCAAAGGAAAGGGGAGATGAATGGAAGGAGTTAGACACCTCAGGATAGAGAATGATTTTTTTTTTCAGATATGGCAAGGTCCCTAGTCAAGATTATGAAGGGAATTGATGTAAACACTATTATATATATATATATATTCACAAGTGAATATATTTACAATAAGTTAGATTGTGAAGTGGCATGCACATGTAAGCATATATAAATCGCCAGCAGCATCCCTACCACCACTACCACCTCCATCACCATCACCAACATCATGGTCATCCTCTGTCCTTCCATCATCTGGCCTGGGAGAGCGGTTGTAAAACATCTGGAATAAATCTCACCACCTTTCCAGCCAGCTCTCAACTCTAGAGTTGCCTGGAGCCTCTTCTGACCTCATCTGCTTTGAGGACCAGCAGAGGGTCCAGTAAGTGAGGAACACTTAGGCATGAGAGGAACAAGTACTAGGGATGCTCACATTGTAAGAGAGCTGAGAAAAGAGAGCCAGGAGGAATAAACCACGAAGAGGCTCTCAGGCTTTCACGTCTGTCACTGTGGCTGGGGGGAGGCCAGGGTCATATGCCATGTCCCCAGCCGTTGCGTTGCCTTTTGGTTTTTGCATCTAGGCAGACCTCTGTCATTTTAATATGCCAGTGGAAGTATTCAGGCAATACCAAGAGATGTTTGTAAGAGCTTTCAAAAGGAGGATTCCTGAAGTGTATAGGAGATGCTATTGTAGGATACACCTGTTGGAATTAGCAAGTATTATTGAGTAGTGGGACATTCTTTCCAGTTGGAATTTAAAAAAAATCTAGTTTCTATTGTTTGTTGTGTCTTGAGACATCTATTCTTACTGGAAATTCTTCACCTGTCTGCCAGTCTTACTTCCTTACTTTACAAGGATGACTTTTTCCCCAAATATTTTTCCAGACAGCCCAGTCTGTTTGGGACTCATCCTACTTGCTGGCATTAAGGAATTTCAAAGAGAAGCATGGACAGCATAGGGAGAGAGGCCCTGAGGGATCCCTCTGCTGACAGAGAGGGAATGCAACTCATGAGGCGGTCATCTGAACAGAGTCACGCAGCTGGTTGACTTTGGGTTCTCTGGGTTCTCTGGGTTCCATCTGGGCGTAGTGTAACCCAGAACCGTGGGGCTGCTGCCAGAACTGGCTCCTCAAGGTTCAGGTGCTGTGCTGATGGGTTCCAGCATCTCCCTGTCACAGTGACTGTGCACCTTCATCCTGACCTCTTCCTTTTATGATTGCCTTCTTTTAAAAACAAGACTCATTCTCTAATTTTGTTTATGTGTATGTGTGTGTGCCTGCACGCATTTATGTGTACCTCATGCTTGCAGGTTCTCGTAGAGGCCATAGGATGTTGAATCTCCTGGAACTGAAGCTATTAGTAGCTGTGGGTCTTTTGATACTATGTTAACAAATGAACCTGGCTCTTCTATGGGAGCTGCGTTTTTAACTGCAGAGCCATCTCTCTAGCTTTTTATGTT